GAAAAAAGGTTTAATTTGGCCTTCCACAAACAGTGTAAGTTCGAAGAAAATGTATAAATCTTATGCCAAAAATTCTTACACAAAAGGAGTAACTTTTCAAAAAAATTTAAGCACTTCCACGAAAAGGTATAAGCTTATGCAAAAGGTGTAAATTTGATGAATTTATCTTTCACAAAAGGTATAAGTGACTTGCGAAAAAGCTTTAGTTGCCTTCCACAAACGGTGTAAGTTCGAAGAAAAGGTATAATCTTATGCCAAAAATTCTTACACAAAGAGATTAACTTTTCAAAAAAAATATAAGCACTTCCACAAAAAGGTATAAGCTTAGGGACAAGGTGTAAATTTGATGAATTAATTTTTCCAACAAAAGGTATAACTGATCGACAGACTGAGATCGACAGACATAGAGACCGTTTTTTAAATAGAGCAACGGACAGAAAGATAGAGAGAGAGAGAGGAGAGAGAGAGAGGAGAGATAGACTGAGCTCAACAGACATAGAGACCTGGATGGACACTGATCGACAGAGGGACCGAAATCGACAGAGATCGACAAGAAGGACCCACATGGACACCGACAGACCAAGATCGCTGGAACAGACCGAGATAAACAGGATCGACAGAGACAGACGCATCGACACAGAGAGACCAAGATCGATAGGCCAATCTTTCAAAAAACCTTTGATTGCGGCGCGGTGCCAGTGGAGGTGCCGATCTCAGATGGCTGTGAGCACCGGAGCCCACCGACGCTTGGGTGGTCAGCGGGTCACGACCCTTTGATTTGTTCAGTGGTTGTCTCAATTTGGTTTATGAACACTTCGAATGTTACTCCTTCTCTGTTTACTACTTTCAGATGGACATATGTTACTCCTTCTGTGTTTACGAACATTTTGAAATGACCATTTGTTACTCCTTTTCTGGTTATCAACGCTTTGAAATGTTACTCCTTCATACTTTTCGTGAAAATGTTTACACCATTTTTGAAAAGTTACTGCTTTTGTGTAAGAAATGTTGGCATGAAGATTTATATTTTTTCTTCGAACTTACACCTTTTGTAAAGGCCAACTTAAACCTATTTCGGAAGTCACTTATACCTTTTGTGAAAAAAAAAATTCATCAAATTTACACCTTTTTCTTAAGCTTATACTTTTCGTGGAAGTGCTTATATATTTTTTTAAAAGTTACTCCTTTTGTGTTAAGAATTTTTGGCATAACATTTATACTTTGTGGGTTATATACTCTTTACAACAGGAGTAAGTTTGAAGAAAAAAAGTATAAATCTTATGAGAAAAATTATTTCACAAAAGGAGTAACTTTTCAAAAAAAATATAAGCAGTTCCACGATAAGGTATAAGCTGAAGCAAAAGGTGTAAATTTGATGATTTATTTTTTCACAAAAGGTATAAGTGACTTCCGAAAAGCTTTAAGTTGGGCTTCACAAAAGGTGTATGTTCGAAGCAAAAGTATAAATCTTCTCAATTCTTACACAAAAGGAGTAAGTGTTCATAAAAGGTGTAAAATGATTTATACTTTTCAGTAATCAGTTATGCCTTTTTCTGAAATTCCTTACGCCTTTCTTGAAAACTTATACTTTTCTTGTGACCATTTACACCTTTAGTCATATAATATATTATTTTATTAATTTACCTGGAAAGTGACCTGCGCTTAGCAGGTCACCAATGTGTAAGTTTCCAAATATTTTTTGATATAACCCAATACATATAAATGTGTAAATGCAAAATAGAATGGTGTAAGTACCTTGCATACCATATGCAAGGCACACATGAGAAAAGTCCTTAAAGTTTTGAATAGATAACTTTCCTTTTGAAATGTGTAAATCAAGGCATAAAAGCTATTTAAATTTTTAAATATATTAATAAACTTTCCTTTCACATTTAAATTTTAAAATGAATTAATTAACTTTCCTTTTGAAATAGGTAAATCAAGGTATAAAAGTTATTTAAATTTTTAAATACATTAATTAACTTTCCTTTTAATGGATTAATTACTATTTTTTAAAATGATTCAATAAAAGTTATTCAATTGAATTTTTTTCTTATTATTTAAAAAATGGAGCTTTTTTGATAAATCCTCTTTTTAAGAGTTTTATTTTATCTAACCCATATTATTTTTTATTATTTCATTAGGTCCTATTTGAGATAAGAAAACCAAAACACTCTCAATCTCTCCTACCCTCTATTAATGTTGATTGTCATTATGTTTTGAAAGTTTTCATGTATCAAGATGTTGACTATCATTATATTCATATTAATTTGAAATGAATTTTTGTCATTGTGTTGTCAATTACATGATATAAATATTCGCATCATGCAATTGAAATGAATATTCACATTAATTTGAAATGAATTTTTGTCATTGTATTGTTAATTACATGATGTGAATATTCATATTAAAACATACGAATGTGAACGTTCACGTCACTATGTTAGATGAGAGAGAATATTCACATGTTGTAAATGTTCACGTCACTACATGTTGTGAATAAAAATGTGTTGTTAACTAAAAATATAATGAACGTTATTTTAATGTGTTGTCAATTAAAAATAAGAAGGTTCACATATTGTGAACGTTCATATCACTATATTAGATGAAAGAGATTTTTTCAGAAAGGTGTTGTGAACGTTCACATCAGATAAGAGAGAATGTTCACGTTATTTTTAATCTATTGTCAATTAAAAATATATTCACATTATATAATAATATAAAATAATAACATCAATATTATTTAATTTGTATATGAAATTTCCTATGCTTTAGTCTTTTCCCTTCTCTCTCCTCCCCCAACATTAAATATCAATATTAAATATAAGGGCATAAGAGTCTAAGAAAATAATGTAAATCAAGAAAAAAAGACTTTATGGAATAAAAATATAAATACATGAGACTAAGTGGGTTAAAAAATTTCTTCATGGACTTCTTATGTTAGAACACTTTTAAATGAAATTTATCAATAAAAAACCCTTTAAAAAATAATAATTCTAAAAAAATAGTATGAGAGTTTTGAATTTCACAATGCCTTCTCATTAAAAATTTCCTTTCACTTATATAATATATAAATAGATATTATTAAATTTATTTGACCATTTTATTTTACCTGCACCGTGCATCTACGTAAGAAACTTAAGTTTCATATATATATATATATATATATAATTAGAAATGCCATATATATCACTAATTTTTTATTTTTTTTTAGGGCAAATTACGCTTTATCCCCTCAACTAATACCATTTTTCACTTTACCTTCTTCATCTTTTAAAAAATTTCAATTTAATCTTTATGTCTCTATTTTGTTAACAAAATAGATCAAAAAAGTGCATATAATATGCACATTTCATATTTGCGATAGATCTTTAACGTAGTGTTTGGTTAAGAGATTTGAGAAAAGATTTGAAAAGAAAAATAAAAAAAGACAGATAAAATGTGAATAAAATATACCTACATTTCACCTAATTTCACACATTTTTTTTTTCAAATTTCTTTTTAAATGCTTCAACCAAACAGAGCATAAAAGATATTTTTATTATAAATATAACATCTACACATTATATACTTTTTCTCTGACTCTTTTGTTAATAAAACAGAGATACAAGACTTACATTGAAAATTTTTAAAAGATGAAAGAAGTATATTATACCAATTTTTAATTCGAATGAATAAAATTAAAAACGGTGATTGTTGAGAAAGGTAACGTATAACCTGCCTTTACTTTTATCCGCCAAATATTCTGAATGAGTGTTGGTAGAACGTAAAGACATCTACAACACCACTTAAAAGACTGCCCATTTGAGTAGTGTGTTCAGTAGTTATTATTCATAATTCACTTTTTTTAGTTAAAGATAATTATTAAAAATTTAATGAAACAAATAATATTTTATTATTATGTACTTTCCATGATATAAAATATTAAAAATAAACAAGTAAGATATAACTGTGTTTATATATAAAATATTATACCAATCAGTGTGTTTGGTTTGAATTTTTTGGATTAAATTTTTTTTAAATTGACTTTTTTTATTTTCGTATTTTTTTTGTTTTTAGTGAATATTTTTTAAATTTTAAACATTTTTTTTACTTTTTTAGATACCCCTTACTTAGATGTATTTAAAAAGTAAAAAATTTGTGAAAAAATATTTTAAAAAATTAATAAATACATAAAAATACAAAAAGTATACTGAATTCTTATATTTTTTTTGTATTTTTGATATTTAGTGAATTTTAAAAAAAATTATAATTTTTTTACTTTTTAAGTGTATTTATATTAGGTGTGTTTAAAAAGTAAAAAAAAATTGATTAAAATATTAAAAAAATTCAGTAAAAATAAAAAAAATAAAATCGAAAAAATAAGAAAATAAATTTTTTTGAAAAGTGAAAACAAACAAGGTGAATATTTTTATTAAAAGCCTCGTGTGAAAGTGAAACACATGGTGTGGACCTCATGTGAATCGTACCTGAGACATCTCATAAAAATATTTGTAAAACATTGGGTCACTAAGATTACTCTTACATATAAAGATTCATCCTATTTATAAATAAATAAATAAATTGAAATCAACTCTATCACATAAAAAATTCACAATAAAAAACAGTTGTCTTTAAATTTGCAAAACATACGATCACTCACCTCTGGTGACCATGAATTCATCATCAACAATCACTCTCCGTCCATTCCGATTAACCGACGTAGACGATTTCATACTATGGGCCGGCGACGATCGAGTGACTCGCTCGATCCGATGGAACCAGGGACGGATCCAGGATTATGACTTTGGGGGGCCAAAGTACGTTTAACCTCTAACTAATAAAATTTGAAATTCAATACCAATTTCTACTAGTATGAAAAAAACCAATAATGTTACGATAAAATATTGAACTATATATTCCTTGTCAACATAGTTGAGTACCAAAAGATGATCATACAATTGAGAATATTTTTTTGCCCATATTCACTTACAAAAAGTAGTAACTATTTCTACATGCATTTATTTACTAAAATTAGGCATCTTCAATTGAGCTCGACGTTCTTTCATAATATCAAAAGCATCGATGATAGAGTCTACATCAAACCCTCGAGCAATATCCTTTTCAATGTACGTAATCAAGTAACTAGCCAGAAAACCATCTTCCATCCTATTGCGCAATTTAGACTTAACGAGTTTCATAGCTGAAAATGCACGTTCTGATGTAGCAGTTGAAACAGGTAAAGTCAACACAAGACGGATCAATCTATTAATAAGAGGATAACTTGTCGACTTTTTTGTTTTTGCCAACATTTGGCACAACTCAGAAATGGTTGACAGCTTCTGAAACTCGGGAAGTATGGAAATATCAAGCTTATAGTTTTCCAACTGATACTTCAAATGCAATTTTTCTTGCTCGGAGAAATCCATGGGATAAAATTTATCTACAAGTTTGCAAATATCCTCAATGTTGAATGATCTATAACCATCCCTAGGATCCAAAGCTGAGCTAAGAACAAGCAATTCCATTACATCTTCCTTAAACCTATTGTTTAATTCTTGTAACTGGGAATCAACTATAACCATAAAAATATCAACTCGAAAATGATGTTCCATGGTGAGCTGATCTCTTTCAGAACGAGACCGACCTCGGCCTCCTTTATAAGGACAACTCATATCAGGAATCTGTATACCATGATCATTAGAAAATAATTTAATTTTCTCCAACAATGGAACCCATCCATCTTCTCTAAATTTTTGAATAAGTATCTTCGTTGTAGACACCAAATGCATTGCATTTAATATATCTTGAGATTTACTTTGCAAAGCTTGGCAAAGATCATCAGTAATCTCCATGATATCCCTCATAAGATGTAAGATGAAGACAAACTCAAAAGATGTAATGGAATCATAAACTCCATCTGCCTCAGCTCGTTGATTCAATTTGCTTCCATCATTAATTATGTTTCTTAGGACTGCACAAGTAGCACTGAACATGTTTATCAAACTACAAATGGAACCCAAATGAGAACCCCATCGAGTATCTCCAGCTCGTTTCAATGTTCTAATCTGATTTTTTCCTTTACCAGTCTCAAATTCATCATCAATGGCAAGCTTTTCAGCAATATCTGCAGCCTGAGCAGCTCTTAATTGATCATGTCTTTTGCAAGATGAGCCAACTATATTAATTGCTTAAGTCAAGTAAGAGAAAAATTGATTGATAGATATAACCTGTTTAGATACTCCTACTAAAGCCAATTGGAGCCGATGAGCAAAGCAATGAACATAATATGCGAATGGACACTCAGCACAAAATAGAGCCTGCAACCCTGTCCATTCTCCAGACATGTTACTAGCACCATCATATCCTTGACCACGAATATTTTGCACACTAAGGTTATGAAGAGAAAGGACAATACAAATTTCTTCTTTCAAAGTTGCCGACGTGGTATCTAACACATGAACTATGTCAAAGAAACGTTCTTTTATAAAACCATATTTATCAATAAATCTCAAAACAATTGCCATTTGCTCTCTTTTCGATTCATCTTCAGATTCATCAACTAGAATGCAAAACTTCCCATCATTAATCTCCTCACGAATGAATCTTTGTATCTTATCAGAGAAAATATTAAGAATCTGCTTTTGAATCCCATGGGAATGATAGGAAGCATTTTGAGGAGCATTTTCCAAAACCACTGATGCCACATCCTCATTATAAGAAGCCAAGAGCTTTATCAACTCAATAACATTCCCTCGGTTGTTAGATTCGTGGCGTTCATCACAACCTCTGAAAGCGCAGGCTTGGAATGTTAACCATTTAATCACATCTATCGAGGTCTTCAATCGCAAACGATTTCTAGCAATTTGTATGGAAGTTTGTTTTTCAATAATTGCCTCAATATGTTGCGCTTGATTTGTTAAATCACAACAACATTTGATAGCAACTCTATGCGATGAGTTAGGATCCTTGCCAAATGCGATAACAAAGGACAATTCTTCCCTTCATTGACTTTCTTCCAAGAAAAAAATCCCTCGATTGTAAAAGCACTAGATCCAGGGCGTCCAGTTGGCTTAGTAAAAAGAAAACATTGAAGGCAAAACGCACGATTTTTTGTTGGAGAGTATTCCAACTAATCCAGAAATAACTTGTACCAAGAATCTAAAAAACGACGCCCATTCTTATCAGTTTCAAAAGGTTGATTGTTCGGAGCCTTGGGTTGATATGGCCCGGATTTGATATAAGCACGTCTGATCTCATCACGTTCACATACCGGATAATCCCATATTTGTTAACGCAACCCCGGATCCCTCACCAAAGAAGATGTATCAACATCTTTAGATTCGACTCTTGGAAGTTTAGAAGGACGTTGTTCCAAAGGAGTTGAAGTTTCAACATTATTGGTGGAACTTTGAACGATATTTTCAGAACCTCTTTTCTTAAAGAAGAAATCAATTTTTTTGTTCGCCATGATTAACTTAACAATTGTACCTGAATCACAAACTAGCAGACAATTGGACCACCCATATTCAAACTTCAATCAACAAACATAAATATGAAAACAATCACCTCAAATAAGTCCATTAATTCTTAGACATAAATAATAATTGTATTTGAATAAAAAAACTAACAGACAATTGGGGCACATATTGCATAGACAGAAATATGAGTATAATATAAGCTCAAAAAACTAACTGAAAAAAAAAAAGAAAACATATTGCATAAATTCCAATTAATCTCAGACATAAATTATTGAAACTTCAACCAACATAGACAGAAATATGAGTATAATGTAAGCTCAATCCATCACTATCTCACAATTGAGCCAACTGTATGCAAATTTATTTAATACCCTTCCCAAAAAATTAAAGCAAATTAAAGTTGAGAGCAAACCCATATATGATATAATATAACTTTAAAGCAAACCCCAAAAAGCAAACCCCAAAAAGCAAACCCATATATGATATAATATAACTTTAATCCCAAAAAAGTCACAAAGATCAACAATGAGAATATTAAAGTTGAGAGCAAATTTATTTGATTACCTTCTTGAGGAGTCAAGACAAGGGCTGGGCTAGGCGTTGCGTTGCACTCCGTAACTCCGTATCGGTCGTCTCTCTTATGCTGCCTCTCAGACTCAGTTGTTTTGTTTACTTTATTTTAGACTTAGTGCTTCTTAAGCTTCCAAAGCAAGTCTTGGATTGTATATTATATATATATATATATTTAAAAGTTTCATATTTACACTTTAACCCACTAAAGTGTTTAAAATTTTGTTTTCATTTTGATTTAATTTAAAAAATACATACA